CTGAAAACTTGTAATATTTTACGTGACATTGTTTTATCCATCCATCCATCCATCCATTTTCTATACCTGCTTGTCCTATTCCTTGCCTTGCGGCCAAAGCTTCTGGGATAGACCCCCGCAACATTGTTACATATTAAATAAAATTCTCCTTACGGAAAATGATACTGCTTGATGGGTATTTAAACCCAGTGTTTGCATTTTTTATTTTAGATTTTTTTTAATGAGATGCTGTTATCCTAAGCAATGTACACTTTCTTTGAATGAGTAGGGCCAGCAAGGCCCTGAAGCAATTATGGGCCTAACTGTGAGATAACTCTGCCGACCACAGGATGCGAACCAACAACCTTCTGATCACGGACGCAGTGCCCTACCCTGCCAAGGTACACACCACCTCCTGTGTTATGGGAGCTCTAATTTTACACAGGTAAACCAGAATTGCCCTGGCAAGGACACAGTTGCCTTACAAATGGCCTCTGCTTGTGAATCATTAAAATAACAGCCAACAATCCCTGGATGGAAACTCCACACTTAGTGGATCATTATTCACTTTGTGAGTCTGAAGGACAGCAGTGAAAATGAGGACTAAAGAGCTTTCCATAGAAGTCAGAGATAAAGAAGAACAAATCCATCGATTAGCAAAAGGGCCCAAAACAATAGCTGATTGTCTGGATTTCCCAGTGATCATTGTTGGTTCAATCACAAAGGACACTACATCAAACTATATCTTTGGCATAACAACCTTAATGTAACAATCTATTAAACACCTTTGTTATAACCATGGAATGCTGTTGATAATTTTCTAAAAGAATTTAAATCAGATACTTCCCTCAGGAGTATCACAGACCACAGATGCTCGATCTGATTGAGACCTGGCGAATTTGGAGGCCATTAACACTTTTTCATGTCCCTCAAACCATTCCTGAACAATTTTTGCAGTGTGGTAGGGAGCATTATCCTGCTGAAAGTGGCCACTGCCATCAGGGAATACCTTTGCCATGAAGGGGTGTACTTGGTCTGCAACAATGTTTAAGTAGGTGGTACATGTCAAAGTAACTTCCGTATGAATGCCAGGACCCCCCAAGGTTTCCCAGCAGAACGCTGCCTCCGCCGGCTTGCCTTCTTCCCACAGTGCATCCTGGTGCCACCTCTTCCCCAGGTAAACAACACACACACCCAGCTGTACACATGATGTAACAGAAAGCATGACTCATCAGACCAGGCCACCTTCTTCCATTGCTTCATGGTCCAATTCTGACGCTCACGTGCCCGTCGTAGCTGCTTTCGGTGATGGACAGGGGTCAGCACGGGCAATCTGACCGGTCTGCGGCTACACAGCCCCGTACGCAGCAAGCTGAGATACACCGTGTTCTGACATCTTTACATCGTAGCCAGCATTAACTTTCTCAGCAATCTGTGCTGCAGTAGCTCTCCTGTGCGATCTGACCAAACGGGGTAGCCTTCGCTCCCCATGTATATCAGTGAGCCTTGGGCGCCCAGGGCCTCATCACCGGTTCACCGGTTGGCCTTCTTTCAACTTTTGATAAGTACTGAGCACTGCATACCGGAAACACCCCACGAGACCTGCCATTTTAGCCAGTCGTTTAGCCATCGCAGTTTGGCCGTTGTCAAAGACGCTCAAATCCATATGGTTGCCCATTTTTCCTGAATCCAACACATCAACTTCATGAACTGCCTGTTCTCTTGCCTAATAAATAATAGCACCCTTCACAGGTGCCATTGTAATGAGATAGTCAATGTTATTCACTTCACCTATCAGTGGTTTTAATGTTATGGCTGATCAGTATATATTTACATACATGAATTTGGTTACTGTGACTATCACCAGGGCAAAGGGTCTGAATATGGGTGAATGAATCTGTTGTTCACTCACTCAGAACTTAAGACATATGATCGCTAAATATTATATTAACTTTAACATCAGAGTTAAATTTGGGCTTAAGACAAATCGCCCCAGAAGGGTATGTTTCCAAGATGGATGATCAAGCTGTAGTAGGGAGCAGGTAATAGAGCTGGTGAGGTTCTCTGTATGCAGTTATCAGCTTGCTGCTGTGTTACACAAAGAGCCTGGGAAGTCAAAGATCAACAGATATTCAGCAACGGAAAGATGCTCCAGGAATTAGAGTCAAGGGTCAGAGATTGGTAGCAAAGATCAGCAAATTCTTATTCCACTGTTATTTCCTGCCACATTCCACTGTAAAAATGATTAAATGCATTTTCTATCTCATAAGCGGTTTGGCATTGAGCTAAATCCATGAAGAAGAACTATTTACACAAATTTCCTCTAGGATAACACATTTCTATTCTATTCTATTTAAGTTCATAGAGGAAAGAAGAAAGAGATTATTCAGTATGATTATCCATGTGGAACGGACTGTTCCTATCATATTTATTTTAATATAGTACCATTTTATGTGGAAATGTATTAAAAACTTCTGCTGTTACGGGAGGCTTTAATATGCAGTAACGTGTGAAATAATCCAGGCCTGTGTTATCATGATGATTGACTTGGGCTGAAAATGCCATTAGAGTTGGGAAACACGTCATCTCATCACGGGGTCCAGTGTGACGCCAGCGGAAGTGCGACCTGTTTCACGTCAGTGGGCCTTTTGTTAATCTCCCTCCAGGGACTCGACACAGCAGAGGCTCGGTGACTCGCTTTGCCTCCGGGCCTGGCCTCGAGGCGGTAGGCCGGCAAGGGGCAGGGCGTACTGCAGGGACAGATGGGATATAGGTCCTCTCTGACCCCCGACATGTAATCATCACCAGCTCCGCATGCCCACGAGCGTAATCCTCTCTACCAGCAGTGCAGGAACCGCGGAGCGAGCTCCCACCCAGGTGACAGGAAGACTCGACTTTGATCGTACCTGGTGCCGGCAGGGGGACGGGTGATAGGTGACCACGTAAGGTGAGATGTGGACAGGGGCGACATGGAAAATTACCGTTCCCGTTGCTCACGGAGCGGAGGCGACGTGAGCGGCTAATTACATCATCAGGGGCGCAGAGGGCGCCGTGGCTCGGAGCCTCGCCACAGAGGAGCCCGTCTGTACCCGTCGCCAGAAGAAAGCGAGAGGTTAACGAGCATCCGCTCCCCTCGTGCGGCTCGCGCCGTCGGTGAACTTTGGCAGATCGGACGGGGGGGGGGCTGATTGTCGGTGCCGCTCAGCTGCCGATATATCGAGAAGCCGGGGGCTTTTGTCAGGTAGAGAAACACATCAGTGTGAAGAAAAGAGGCACGATACACGAAGGAAGATTGAGGCTAAAGCGACATGTAACTGAAAAAGTAGGGTGAGCCGGTCCCGGGAGCTATTAGCGGTTAGCCTTGTTCAAAGGTCAAACAGTGAAATCACTCTGCCACCCCTGGGATTTGAACCTGCAACCTTCCGATCACTAGCACAAGTTTAACCTGCACTCGTAGGAGTTTTACTTACACAAAAATGTTCGAAAAGTGATTGGTTCAAGGAGATAACCAAGCAGAATGTAGAGGAGGCGGGACCAAGCAACTGGAGGATGCGGGACCAAGACATCAGATTCATTGGTCTGACATATGACCAAGATCTGATTGGTTATCTGTCTGAATCAATCATTGTTCATTCTGCCCTCAGAACATTTTAAAACTCCCATGAGCCTAACCTGCTGAGCCAAATACATGAGGGAGCTTTTAATTTTAAAAGCCTTACATCTCTCTGTTTCCATCGAGTTTGAGCTTTGAAGTTAAATGGATTCTGATGTTTTTCCTCAGGACGTTTCTCCGTCGATCTTCTCATACAGTAGGTACTCTTGAAGACGGGCTGACAGATATGGATTTCACTTCTCCACCGTTAGCAGAGCAGATCCACGAGCCTTCCAACACAGCTACTCCGGCTAGTAAAACTATGATCATTTGGGTGCATGGGAGGGTTTGGCAGTGGAGGGCCGTGCATCTGTCGCAATCTATGAAACGTGCAGGAAATCCTGCCTGCTTTATCCCATCTGACTTCACATCACGCCACAATGAACGTGCATCTGTGATCGGTACCTAGAACGCCACATTACTCAATGCGAAAAGGAGGGTGTTTATCAACCATGGTTCTGTCAACATTCCAGACCCAGTTCTGAGTTCGTAACCCGACTGCCATGGGCATCTTTAACACCCGTTGCCTTTTTGCCCCCTACCCGGCCTGTACACCCATCTACTCCCAAAATAGTGTCTGGCGTCAAGGAAAATATTCATTGAGCCAAGAATGATCTATGTTTGATGCTCAATGACGCAACCCGCCAATGGGAATCATTTCCGGATCCCTGCATCCTGACAGAAAAAAAAAAGAAAAACATTTGGATCACATCACCCGTCTTCCGACAAAGATCTGTATCTGGAGAAGCATCGCTTGTTCGGGTGTCTGCGAAAAAAGAAAGTGATGAAAAACGAGGAAGAGGAATTACACTGTTTCAAAAAAGGGACTGAAAATAATCCCCCCCCCCCCCTCGTGCGTCAGGTCCTAATGATGTCTGCAGAAAGAAACAGGAAAGGGTCGTTTGTTATCAGACTTGGGGGGGGGCTGACAGCGGACAGTGCAGGATAAGGTGGATGAAGAGTGGTCTCAGCCCCAGCAGTAATGAAGCTGACTTGGCTAGGGACCGTCCTGTTTTTGATAGTCTACCTTGGGTGGGTCACCCTTCCAGACAGACTATCTGCTGTAATGAAATGTCCGCTCCTAATGACCCAATGACGGTGACCCCTGCGAGCACGAAAGGGGGAAAGGAGATATTAATAAAGTCATGTGTCTCACTCGGCTGCTCCAGTGTTAAGCTCGGCTGGCCAAAATGCAGGCATCTGCCTGGGGCCTTTCGGAGGTGGCACTGCCCGTTCGATCACTCGGTCGGACGGAAGTATCAGGAGTAAGAGTTAGGGTTCGGGGGTAAAATACACCCATTGATTCACTTTTGGCCCAGTCCAGTGAAACTTCATAAAATTATTGTGTGACAATGAAGAAGAGAATGACTTATCATGAATGACGTTTATTTGGCTATTTAATGACATCACTGCTTTCAAGTGGACAATTGGTAAAGATTATTCTTAAGGGTAAGAAGATTATAAAAAGTCATAAATAGCTATGTTTTTTTTCTCCAGACATTTAAATAATGACACAGTAAAAGGTAAGAAGGAAGGACAAATTAGTACATAAAGGATGCAAAGAATGTAGATGAATAAGTAACATGATTTTAACAAAATGACCTAATTATGCTTGTCAGATAAGCAGGGTCTGACAAACATTAATCACGCAGAACTGATAAACACCACCCCCCCCATCAAGGTGAAATACAACAAAGAATTATAATGACAACCAACAAAACAAATATCCCTCTCATTATTCTGTTTATTACAGATCCAGGAAAATACAAAATATAAAGAAATGCAGCAGGAATATTTACGATAAAACACTTTTTAAACAAAGTTCATATACAAAGCATTTACAAAGAATTTCCTGTTGCTTTTGGGGACATTCAACATTGTAAGATTTTATTTCCCTTTCAATACAATCATTCTGCCAAGCAGCAGGACCTATACAACATCAAGGTTAATTTCTGCATTTCCTGAGGGCTGAAACATGACATACAGCAGCTCTGTGCCTTTTCCCCTGTCAACTGCTCCTCATTCTCAGTAGATCCCGTGCTACTACGTTACCACACATTTTACTGACAAATACTTACAGCAGAAATTAATGCCTTTCCCGTTTTCTTAAAATATCTATTAAATGTTTAAAGCACGATATTTTACAGCTTTTAAATTCTGTTTGCTGAGTGATTCCTGCCTGAATATAGAATACCTTCACAATTGTTCAGACCAGGGGGTGCTGCTAGAGATTTTGGGCCCCATGAAAGCATATCACATTGAGCCCCCAACCCAGACCAATCCAGTTTTTATTATTTTTTTTTGGAATTGTCCTAACTCCCTCCACCCTTACGGCACCCCTGGTTCAGACTATATATAACTGTTAAACATATAATATTCTCTTATTCAAATATACATTTTTTGTTTTGTATATAATAGCCATGGAGTGGAAAATAGGATTGTGATTATCGTGTTTACTACTGAGATTAAATCAGACGATTTGGTTTAACCTAATTTCGCTTCTAAACTGAGTTAATAATACTATTGTTTATGTATAATCCTGTTTGACGCACAGCCAAGGCACAGACATGAACTCATGAAGCGACGGAGATGGAGGACGCCAAAACAACGGCAAAGTTCAGCCTGAATGAGGAGCACTGATGGGTAACGCCGTTCGCTCCGGCATCGCCGCGCTGCATCGTGCGGCCAGCAGGGCTCCTTCAGTGACCGGCGCATGTGGCGAGGCGGCCGGCGTGGCTCCCCGTCGCATCCGGGCTACGGGCGCATCCTTTATGGTACATTCATGCATACAATCAAATACGAAGAGAAGTGTGCTTAAGGTTCAACTGTGCCGAGTCAGCAAAGTGCAGCATGTCGCCCATTTAAACTTTCAGAAGCACTGAACAAAGCCAGACAGTACAGCTTTAGGGAGGTGTCCGCCGTTAGGGAGCGATCCGAGCTATTATGAAGTGCGTAAAAATAAAATGGAAACACACGCGGAAAAAGAACATGCAAAATATGCTTGTTGTTGTATTTACAGATTGTCTTCAACTCAGGAATGTTCAACAACTACAGCGTGTACATTTTAACACCAGAAATGATACATTATATTTTAGTTTCTGATTTCTAAAGAAACGCATATCATTTACATTCCAGACATTTTATATATTTTTCTGCATGAAGGCACAATATTCAGTCTTAAAGAAAACACAATGTGCTGTTGATAATTGTGCAAAACGTGGAAGCATTTCAAATGTGCCTTTTTTTTTTTTTTAAAGAGATAAACCCTGTTTGACCCATTCACACGACTCAGCTGGTTCCTGCATTGGAGGTGTCAAGATGCCGGTTAGAACTCAGTTTCCATGGAGAGAACAGAGCCCCACCTGACAGGTACAGAAAGATCTGCCCAATGCTTAACGCACATTTTCTACCCTGCAAACCTGCACCCCACATCGTGCTCCCATTGGACGGACTCCAGAAAGGGGGGGGGGGGGCTGTCGATCAGATCATCGCGAGTTACATTTCAGTCCCTGGTGGTGCTTCGCTAAAAAAGTGCACAAAAACAGGGGGTGAAGACCGCAGCTGGGAATACCTGACAGCGTGAGGTCATCGCTTCAGCTTTCACTTTAAATCACCCTTCCAGAATGTTCCAACCTTATATTTTGTAGGGTTGGTCTGCACCCAGTACCCCATACTGAAGACAGTGTCTGTTTCTGACAATGATCATTCGACGAGCGCTCGGAACAGAGGGAACCATGATTAAATCATATGCCCCTATTCCGTAAGTAATTTTTAAAGTATTATATTAAATTAGCCTAACAATACTCTGGGCAGCACTAGAGAAACACTTCTAAAATGAGCACCACCATTAGACTGAACTGTGCATACCCAATGCTCTTTTCTCAAATCTATTGTGCGTGATACTGTGAATATATACAGCAGGCACACCAGTGCTGCTAGACCAGTCAGCAATCCAGTTAAATCAGTAAGAGAGCAAGCAAACAAATCAAACAAATAAATAAGCATCAACGGGGCCACTTCCACAGAACACAGTCATATTAGATAATTTAACACGTTAACTGTAACCATACATTTGGTCAGTGACAGATGCATCTAATGAGGGGCATCAACTGGGGCTTCGGTGGCGAGATGGCATTTTGCTTACTCGTTGTTTGTGCTGCCAGGGTTCAGCCAGTCCTGAGCAGCTGAATTCAACTGAGAATACCTGCTACACACTTTGTTGTAATCGCTTATGTACCTTACGTGGTTTCGAAAAGTGTTGTGTTTGCATACCTGATTTCTTGTAAAGCGTATGGTCTTATAAGATTATCTGAGTCTACTTAACCTCCTAAAAAGCAACCTTTAGATGAGTTCATGAATCTTAGAGACACGGAGATCAAAGAACGTCTGTGCGGAAGCCAGTTCAGCGTTGAACTTTTGCTGATCTCCCAAATGCCGGGATGAAGATAGACACCGGAGCAAATTTCGGGCTTGGGCTTTGGGGTGCAAAAAAGCATGAGAAGTCTGAAAACATGCAAGGATAGTTTAAATCAACATGAACGTGTACCTGATCATGTCACACAAACATGCAAGATGTGTCCGCAGATCTTTCCGCAGGCAAAAAAGAAACAAGATTCCTCTATATTATTCCAGCGGCTTTGCTCCATTCGGACACATACAGTGTCCTTCTTAAGCTAATAACTAAGAAGTGATGGGGCTCTCACATGCAGAAAAGAGCAAAGATTATTATGGCACACTGCTCCAGGTTAATCCAGTGCTAGATATGGGCTGCAAAAAGAAAAAAAAAAATGCAATGCATCAAGTCATGCCTATTTCCATTTCTTATTCTGAGAAATATTAGAAACGTCTCCTTGAGGTGGAAAAAAACAATATCTGCTGTCCTCAGTTCATAGTTTCACAAGCAAAAAAAAAAACCGCTAAACCTTATCTGGCAGTTGAGACTAAATTTAAACTCCACCATGGTCCTTTGGATTAAGAGTGGAAAAGCATTGACTGAAAATGAAGTGGATGGATGAGCCCAGCTGAGAGAAGAGCGACAGCACTGGTCTAGTGGACGTAGTAAAGCCAGTAGACCAGGTTGAAGAAGGTGAAAGCGATGGGGAAGATCATGCGGGACCACTTGTCTATCGCGTTGACATCTGTCAGGTCGGGGATCTTGACCTTGATCTGCGAGGCTCTCCTCCGCAGGCGCCCCTTCTTGTGGAGCGTCGTGGGGTGGTCGGCAGGGGGGCGCCCGTAGAGGTCGCGGGCCATTATGGGCCGCCGGTACTGGATGCTGGCGTTGTCGAAGGAGAAGACACCCGGCCGCGGGTCACCGAGGCCTGCCAGCATCTCCGCGCCTGTCACCTCATTGCGGATCTCCAGGCTGGTCAGAAGGATGTTGCCGTGAGCATCCACCTTAGAAAAGGGTGAGGGTGTAGGGGATGTGGGTTTGCCAGAAGTTGGTTTGTGAGGGAGGGGGGTATTCAGGGAGAAGGTCCAGAACATCAGTCAGTTGCAAGTAATTAAGCTCATGGAGACTCAACTGGTTGCATCACCACATTATATTTAGCTACCAAAATTCCCGTGATTTCAGCAGGGGTGTATTCCAGGGGGCAGGGCCACGGGGGCACTGGCCCCAGCTGATTGGCCACTGAAGTGCCCCCTCCCCTGTCAATCACTGATTCAAATCATATCATTGGCTAACGATAAGGATGGTCCCTCCATATAATTTATGGCCACTCACACGCCCTACATCTTAAATAATCCTAGAGCCGCCCAAAATCTTTCCAGTAATCCTTTGGGACGTGGTCATGCATTCTGTTTACTTACATTTATCTATTTATTGAGTAGGCGCTTTTATCCAAAGCAACATGCAATCGAGAAAGCAGGGTCAGCCTATTATATAAGAATTTATATATAGATTATTAACGAAATCTTTACTAACTCTTCATTTTTTTTAATGCTAGGCTTAGTCCATGCTCCATATACTACGGCTTGGACTCTTGGTCAAGGATAAACGTAACATTTATCTCTCATCTGATTGGACAAGGTTATTTTTCGGTTTGCCTGACAATGACACCCCAACACTGACAGATTCCAGAGCGAACGACAGTTCAGTGCAATCCCTGAGCCCCGTGCTGAAGACAGAGTGTTCTCCATGTTCACGTCCTTGAGTTTTTCAGAAAAAAAGAGAGAAAATAAAGAAATGTACCTGTCACCGAACTTCGTAGACAATATACCTGTGATACCCGAGGATACTCTTGTTCGGACCAGCAGGACATCGCAGGGCTGTGCTCTTAAGTGGCTTTTGCGTGGACTGTGCACCGTAACCTCTGCAACACCTGAGGTACCTTGAGCAGGTCTTATTTCTGGCGTAAACTCTGCAATTTCATTTACGATCTTTTACGATCAAACCCAAACACGTCGCGTACATTTCCGCGCAATCACAGTTTAGCTACAGCCTGCTATTCCGGTGCCGTGGGCCCACTTAAACGCCTTGTAATTGGGCAGCCCTGAGCCAGGCCGGACCTGCAAGCCCACACCCAGGTACAGCCACCTGGATGAATGAGGGGGGGGTACGGCTTGGCTGGCCGCCTGCCCCATCCTCTTTACGTGTCCGCGTGACTGATGCCTGGGGTCTTTTAGGGGAAGCGTGACTGCATTATGTGTCAGACGCCATGCACCTGAGCTGTGCGGGGCTCTGGCCGGCTTATCGCAGCTACACTCATACTCCTTTGCCAGGAAAATGCAACGCTAAGGGGAAAATTAGCTCAAATACGAATCATAAACTGATGTGCAAATATTTTAGCAATTATTCTATCTGATACAGGTACTTAAAAGTATGCTAATCAAATGCTATTATTATTATTATTATTATTAATGCTTATTATTATAAGCAGTTGGAAGATGGATGAATGGATGGATGGATGGGTGGATGGATAAAAAACGGCTAGCCACAGTATTTAGGCACAGTATTAAAATCTTTTTCACATCTGTTTAAATGTTCCTGGCCACACTAACAGTAATGAGAAGAACACTGACGCCCCACCTCAGTCTCAGTCTAGAAAGGATGAGGGAGCGGCTTACTCCCCCCACTGCCGTTGCCGTGGGAGATGGGCCTGTCGCGCAGCTTAGAATGGGCAGCGGTGGGGGCGCAAATGCCACGGTGGACCTGGCGGACCTTCACCGCGACTTGTCTCTCAGCAGCCCCATATGCCGCCCCCCCCCCCATCGCATGCATCTAGCCTGGAACAGCTGCTCCCGCCGGGACCGCGCCAGCCCCCTGCCCTACGTCAGCCCCCATGTTGAGGCGCAGCACGGGTCCGCCGCCGGCCAAATCGCCGGTGGCACTTTATGCCGGGCAGATTATGAGGGATTACTGAAAAAATGACAAGTGACCAGGCCATATTTACTGTGTCCTGCCATTATCCTGTCGGATATTAAAAATATAAAAACTTACTAACGACATAATGATGTACAATAATATATATAGTCGTTACTTTATCGTTCATGGATCTGTAAATCTTGTAAATGTATGCGCTAGGATGCATGCATTGCTTGGTAATGTATTCTATCACTTTAAAATGATGCTATATAACGCTTCATTCGATTCAGTGGGCCTGCTGTGAATCGCTTTTCTGAAGGGATGGCTTTAAATCATCACGCGTGCGCGTGTGTATGTGTGTGTGCCATCTGGAGCCGGCTTCCTGAAATGGTCGCTCGAGTTTATTCTTTACAACAACGAAGAACATTTTGGGCCCTAAATTTCCATTGGGGCCCAAGCACGAGGTTAACATTTAACGAGATTCTGACCGGAAAACGCAATTATAGCGCTGACGAAGGCAGGCCGAGTGCAAAAACGTTGGGGATCTCGCCGGTGCTTTTTCGTTTGAATCTCTTTCATCCGTCGCTGAAAGACAACCTGAGGTCCAGGGAAAACTGCTGAGCTCACATCTGGACTTGGTGCATGCGTTGCCGTATTGCGAGCGCTGCCGCATTCGGACATGCCAGCATGTGCCCGTAAGCGGGCTAGAGAGGGCAGATAGAGGGCAAGGACCACCACTCCTCATGCTGAGGGGCGGTAACAGACCTCATTAATGACCGGGAGAAATTCCTACAAGGAACACGTACACAAACTCAATTTGCAAGTCTTAAATATTAAAATACCAATGAATAAGTAATCAGGTAATTAATTAGCAAAAAATCTTACATTACCGAGGCTAAATGCATTCAGTGTATTGTTGCTATGACACTCTGGCAGGTACCATCGTATGACACATCTGGTTGACTTCACCTTTAAGTCGATACTTAAAAAATTATATTTTGCCAAAATAATATGGAGCTTAAGTGAAATCGTTAAGTCATTGATAGAGATGCGTCAACTCATCCTGATCTCAGGTCTCTTTCTTATGTAATGGCTTTTGTTAAAAGGCTCACTTTGATGCCACTGATGTCATTTATTTGAACTTTGTCATGAAGGGTAGGTGTTATGGAAATGGTTGCAGGTATGAGCATCAGCAAAATGAACAAAAAGTAAACATGATTTTTCTTTCCTTACAGTCTGCCTTGGGCTCTTTGAAAATAATAATAAAGGAATAACAACAACACCAAAAAAAAAAGACTATCCTCTGTAGGTTCAGCTCTGATGTGATGCCAGCAAAACAGAAAAATCCACCCGAGGTTCAGACGCCAGGGTGATGCTGCGTCTTCGGTAAGGAAAGGACAACCTGCAGTACAGAGGCTCTGCTCCCCGCTGAGCCTCATGGGAACAAACCCTGCCTTTGATCACGTGACATTTTAGGTCTGGATGCCTGTTGTTATCTCACTGGTCATGTGATCAAACAGACTCAGGGCTTTCGGGGACTGGTATGAATGATGTTCATAGCAGAGAGTAACTGCTGGTTTTTGAGCTGGCTAATCTAACCTGGGGGGTCGCATCCTGGGGAGCGGGGCATTGTTTTGGATGAGTGTGTGCCTACCTTTACCAGGGGTTTGGGTGGGGGCTACGTAAAAGCCAGACTGATGCCGCAGGGAAGACAGTATCAAATACTCCTTCTCTATCCCCCCCAGACAGAAAACTATAGGACACTATAAAATGCTCTTTCATCTTCCCTGACATACTCTAGGTCTAGGGGGGGGGTTGATATTCAATGGATTTTATTTTGCTGTTGCAAAAAAAATAATGAAACAGGCTCAAAATATGCCATCTCAGTAGAATCTCACTATAAGCATCATGATCAGTAGCAGTCGAAGCTAATAGATCCTTTTCCACCACAGGAACTTGTTTCGGGAACCACAAAGCTCTGTTGTGTTCCCGCAGCATGAGCTTGGCCCAATTATAGCTTTTCAGAGGAAGTTCCTGAACCTTCTTTAGTCCCTACTCTGGAGTAGGTACTTTTAGCTCAACAGAGAACTACTGGGTGGCTTACAGCAATGAACATCGGCTGATTGGTTGACCACAAGCAACGGTGCTAACTTGGAAATTACGTGGAATTGCAAGGAAAAGAGATACTAGTGGAGTAAAAATTCAGGAAATGGAGTTACTTTTGTATCTTCAGAAAGATTAATCTATAACCAATAAACTTCTGTCTGTGCTTATTAGTGGAATAATGTTACATTGTTCTTTATTCTGTGTAAAACAAAAGATCGAGATGCTGGCCAGATTTAATCATGAATTATAAACATGTCACGGGCCATATAAATAAAATAGAAATAAAATTTCATTTGATCTGTATTTTTTGCACGATTGATGCCCCCAATAAGTAACAAAATGAGTTGTTCAACCTCCGTTGTTTTGGGGAGGCAGGATAGTTTTATATGAAATTATGTGTGAAGTTTAACCTAGAACATTTTAGCATCTCCCATGTTAATTTAACACAGACATCACGGTTCCTGTTGTGCGGAGGGAAAGCAACATGACAAGGAGCGCGGCTGGCTGTACAACTGGCGTGTCCGCCCCCCCCCCCCCCCCCCCCCCCCCCCCCAACAAGCTACTGGAAAAAGTTGTTGACTTTAACCATTGCCAAGTAACCCCACCACCAATTGACAAACTCTAGCATCAACACACCCCCCCCCCCCCCCCCAAAAAATTTTTACTGACAGCCTGGGGTGGGGTGGGGTTGGATATGTGGTTTACTAAGTTGATGCCCCCCCAGGAAGGGCTGTCCTGAGCATGTCATTAGTGTGAGGCGTTAAAGAACTCCTCTCACATTAAAAGAGAAAAGCAAGTAAGATCCACGACTGTTACATCCTTCATAAAATGAAGCCCAGAGAAGCGAAGGGCACTATTTGTTAAATGGCTTTCCTTTAATTACCTGCTACTTAACATGAAATGCAATTATTCTCATGCTACGCTACACGGAATTCATTTGGTTGCGCATCCAGTCAGGATATTAACAGTTGAATACACTGTGTTATGAATCGTTAATGCTCTGATCTCGTTAGTTCTTTAGATGTGTTACTCATCGATGGGGTTCATTTCATGATAAGAGTCTTGATTTAGCTGCCTGCCTGAATGACTGAACTTTCAATGTCAGCGATGAGTACGGCTGAGCATCAATCAATAAATTAAAATCATTTAATTTAATATCAGTTTAATATGCGGACTGAATTAAATTTCAGCTTTTAATAAGTAGCGATGCCCATTCATCACCTGATAACACAGGCTTAGAAAGTCGGAGAGCAGAGCATTGGAAGTGCACTTTGATTAGAAGATGGAAGGAAAACAGATCCAGAGAAAACTCTTTAGATTTTTAGAACGGTGTGAAAATCCTGCTTTTTGGTACCAGGAGGTGCATTTTTTACAGTAATTTGTGCATTTTCAGAAAGAAAAGGCCTCTACCTGCACTTTGTTGGCCTCCAAACCGGCCTTCTCATTATTGGTCTTGGTAGCCTTGTCTGCTGCCTTCTTCTGTAGATGGGGACCTCGGCCGAAGAAGATGTAGTTGACGAAGGCGTACTCCAGCAACGCCAAGAACACGAAGAAGAAGCATCCCATCAGATAGATGTCGATGGCCTTGACGTAGGGGATCTTGGGTAGGGTCTCACGCAGGTGGGTGCTGATGGTGGTCATGGTCAACACCGTGGTAATCCCTGGCGCGGGAAGGAAAAGCATCCAGGACATCCATCAGCCTCGGTGGCGGTAGGGGGTTCAGCAGATTTCTGGGCATACGACACAACCTGATACCCTTCCAAACGAGTGACAGCCCACTGTGCCAACAGCAGCCCGCCTCCTGGGGGATTCTGGGATTGCTTCATTATTCATTAGGATCTTGATGCCATTGAAAGAGCATTTCATTATCCCTAGATAAACCTTGGTGGACCTTCTATGAGAATTATGCAGAGAAACCCAGATTCTCGTGAGAGATGTGTAATGTTTGTATTATCTCTACATGAGTGCATCTTCTCTCTAGCAGAGCACAGGCTAACCATGTTATGAAAACACAAAGAGGAATTTCAGAACGCCTTCTGGAAATAATCAAAGTGGGAACTTGTGTGTTCTGAAATTTATATACAGAAATCATAACGTAAAAATATACAAAGGTAAGCAAATTCAAGCGCAACACTATTTCTAACAACAATAATATAAAACTGTACATATTATGTTCATGATATTTAGTTACTTGAACTAGATATTATCCATGTCATCTATCCATGGAGGTGAATTTCAGTGTGACTTATCCTATTACAGTTACCTAACTTCCAAAATCAAACACTAAAATTTAACATAAACCTAAAGCTACGCAGTGCTTCAATCACACTGCTTTCCTGGAAGATAACACACTGAAAATTAAATGCATCCCTACGTGGTGCATCAGTGATTGTAGTAAAACTGTAGATATTTGAGAAGCACCAATTTCCAGGTGTAACATGGCCTTGACGACCAAGAGCCAAAAATGTCAATATTTGAAGTGATGAAAATTCTATCAATAAAATAAAAGCAATTGCAGTTCCAGGCCATATCCTTGATATCCTCCAGCTATTAGGGGCGAGAGCTTGATGTGCTCCGGCCTTCCCCATGGCCAGCCACGCCTCAGTGCGGCCGTGCAGGACGGATACACCCCCTCTGGAGGCTCGTGATAAAGGAGAGCCTGGCTCTTGGCCACCTCTCCTGGCCCGCATTACAGATCTGCTGCTGGAGGTTTGGACAATTCAGCCCTAAAAACCCAGTTTGATCAGCGTTGTGTACTTCTGTGCCGGTCCATCTCTGCTCTTATGAGGTCGAGTACCTTTTGTGTAAAATAACATGTTCAGTAACACTTTAAATTAACTGCACCTTCATAATGCATTCATTATGCACTCATAGAACATTCAGTGCACTGTCATAATGCATTCATAGGACATTCATAAGAAGTATGAAAGTATACCTTAAGATTCAAACATACTTTGACAGCTTTTATATACATTAATAACAAACATTATTTGATAATAACAAACATTATAGATGTATAATCATATAATGTGTGTTATTAAAATATTTTAAAGCTTTTATAGTATGTTAGAATGTTAAGGTGTTCTGTGAATGCATTATGAAGATGCACCGAATGTTCTTGTGAATGCATTATGAAGGTGCACTGAATGTTCTGTGAATGCATTATGAAGATGTACCGAACATTCTGTGAATGCATTATGAAGATGCACCGAATGTTCTGTGAATGCATTATGAAGGTGCACTGAATGTTCTGTGAATACATTATGACTTTGCGCTGAATGTTCTGTGAATGCATTATGACTTTGCACTGAATGTTCTGTGAATGCATTATGAAGGTGCACTGAACATTCTGTGAATGCATTATGAAGATGCACCGAATGTTCTGTGAATACATTATGAAGGTGCACTGAATGTTCTGTGAATGCATTATGAAGGTACACTGAATGTGCTGTGAATGCATTATGAAGGTGCACTGAATGTTCTGTGAATGCATTATGAAGATGTACTGAACGTTCTGTGAATGCATTATGAAGGTGCACTGAACGTTCTGTGAATGCATTATGAAGATGCACCGAATGTTCTGTGAATGCATTATGAAGGTGCACTGAATGTTCTGTGAATGCATTATGACTTTGTACTGAATGTTCTGTGAATGCATTATGAAGATGCATTAAATGTTCTTTGAATTCATTATGAAGGTGCACTGAACGTTCCATGAATGCATAAAAATGGTGCAGTTAATGTAAAGCATTAGTAAATGTTCTGTATATGTTTTAGGAAAAACATCACCTACGACTAAACATAATATGTACACGTCTCTTTATATGACGCTACAAAAATATTATGCATGTATAAGGCAATCTGCCATAATTTTCATATGTCTTTTATTGAGATGATTGATTCTCTTGACTCTTCCAAAAACAGGGCAAGATACGTTATGAACCAGCAGGACGTGGTCTGCATTTCACTCGCAAACATCAGGATTTGCATGATTTATGCTTTATCCCCCTCCCTCCTTTCAGTCCGTCCTAGACAAACGCTGCATTCCCGCCCCGCGGTTCGAACTCTCGCATCCTGTTCATGCCGTAACCAGCTCTGCTCCGCAACGGATCAGCGGCTCTCCCTGGGGAATCTGATCATCCTCAGCTCAGTGCCAAGTCCTTCACCACCCAGAGAGGAAGAGGAGGGAAGGATCAGGAACCTCGACTTCCTCACTCCCAGCTTGCTTCCGGTTTAGCTAGAGAGCCCAGCCTACTAAGCTGTCAGAATGGCCCATGTCTGCTCACCGCTGGGTCTCCCATCAGAACCTTGCCCCCCCCAAATAACTCCTGTCTATTCAACAATATTTCAGTCTCGCTAATCATGTCGTCATTATCTCCGCATTTGAAAATTGTCGAAAATTAACAATAAAAATAATGGATGTTTCACCGATACTCCATCATTTCAGTGTTTCCTGAAAATGTAGTCTGGGGCTCCCCGAGTACCAGGTTGGGAAAAATTGCAATTAACAGTAATTTAATCGACGCGGGAGGCGACATTTTGTCAGGGGGGGTCAGAATCCTTAGCTACGCCCCTGCAAATACAGAATCAGTTATTTGAGGTTTATAGTTTATCTACCCAGGATTAAGACAGAAATCAAAGAGTGGAGGAGGTGGGTATTTAGATGGGCACCTAGGGCGACTCTGGCAGCGGAGGCATCGTAGTTGATCCAGAAGGAGACCCAGGAGAGGATGGTGATGAGGATGGAGGGCATGTAGGTCTGCAGGATGAAGTAGCCGATGTTTCTCTTCAGCTTGAAGCTCAAGGAGAGCCGGGGGTAGGAGCCTGGGAGGGAAAGAGACCCCACAAACAGTCACAGACAGACATATGTAAGTGCAGCAGCGTTTGGGGGGGGGGGTGGGGGGCAATCAGACGAGTGTGGTGACACTAACGATGCGGCACAGCTAGCAGGATACTCAATAATATCGGCGGCGAAAAAAGTTTAATCAAATAGCACTGCTGTACCACGACGCTTGTTAGCAGGAACAGTGATCTGTAATTGGCTAGACTTCTTTTAACTGTCAAGTGAGGCTTATTATGGGATTATGAAATACGCTCACACAGTCATTATGATGATTTGAAACTTTAGTCCGAGTTCTTTTTAAATTAAGCTAAACCCTTAAAATGCAATTTCTATTAAAATAAAGAACTACAATGTGAGTAAAGAAATAACCTTGGTAGATACTTATGCTTTTACTAAGTATAAAAGTTTTTAAAAATGCAATATAAAGTTAGATTTAAAGAAACAATAATATATACAATAATGTAAATTATGAATTTCACAGAAATCATTATTTATTATTGCTCATCATTATTTATTATGTATTGTTACTCTATTAATGTCTAAGTGTCTTTTTACTGTCTAAATGTAATTATTGTGGTACTGTAAACTACTGACAACAATTTCCTTCAGGGTGAATAATGTATGTATGTATGTATCTATCTATCTATCTATCTATCTATCTATCTATCTATCTATCTATCTATCTATCTATCTATCATATTTCTTAAGGGTGGTGCCGTAACGTCAATGTGTTTATATGTCTGTTTACATGTGTATATGTACTGTACCAAAAATCTAAAATGTTAACGACACACAGAAACACAAAATATGAGAAACATCTCTAATAATGTAAATCTTTAAGTGAATAAGATGTCAGTAAAATACGGGTAAGTGCAAACACGGCCGCCGGGGATGTCTGCGTACCGGTGGTGAAGACCACCTTCTTGGAGAGTGTTTCGTAATTGATGATGGAGAACTGGGGCAGCTCGATGTTGTCCACCCCCGTGACAGCGCTGCCACCTTTCCAGTAAAACTCGATGTCATCGGTGGTGTAGCCATCTGAAATAGAAGGTGGAGGGGGGGGG